AACTCCTGAGCTCAAACAATCCGCCCGCCTCGACCTCCCAGAGTGCTAGGATTATAGGCGTGAGCCACCGCGCCTGGCCCTGCTGGTTCCATATTCATGAACTCCTTACCTAGGTTGTGGTAGGGTGCTTTGTAATTTACTGTTCTTCCTTATGTGTTCTTCGGCAAATAACTTATCTTCCTTAGCCAGTTCTCTTAGAGAATATAGGAAACTCAGATTAGTGTCCTTCTTTAATCACCACTAGTAGGGTCTTGGTCCGGGAGCTGTGTTGAAAAGAGTGAGGCTTGCTTTAGCAGTGCAAACAGCTGAATCATTTGTGTCTTTTATCATACCTAACAATTTTACATTTTTGGAAGAATACTCTTCTTAATAAGGCTTTCATTTTGGAATGCTAATTTTGAGGTTGCTTGAAAGGTAAGTTCCAGAGTTTATCATATTTAACAGCCACTTATTTTTTGACTAGCTAAACAGAGCATACAACCATATACTTATTCTCACTAGGTACATTTTGCTTAAGGTATAAATATGAAGATGTAAATTATTCTGAGTGGTTCAGTTGTACTCAGATCCATAATAGTATATATAACCAGAACAATGAGAGATCTTTCCTGGTATTAGTGTAGGTATAACTCATTCAATTTTAATACAGCTAATATTTATTTGTGTAAAAGTTAGTACATGAAATATTTAAGAAAATATATAATAAATTCTTTTCCTCACTTTTTTCAATAGCAACTTTTTAACTGTCAGTCTCTACACAAACTGAGTTTGCCTGACAATGATTTAACAGCGTTACCAGCATCCATTGCAAATCTTATTAATCTCAGGGAACTGGATGTCAGCAAGAATGGTAAGATTTTTTTCCCCTGAGTTTTTGTACTTGGAAACATGTTTCATTATTAAGATTTCTATTGAGTTTTCACAAATAAAAATGTAAAAATAAAAAGTCATTGTAATGTATTATACTAGCTTTGGCTAAGAATAAATCTGTTTTATGTATATGTAAAGGCATTTTTTTCCACTTAAAGATTTTGCAACCTGTTTTATTATAAAACACAGTAAAATTTTGTATTATAGTCCTGGCTTGTAATTTGTTTATAAAATCTGTGATAGCTTAAAGTAGGTGGAGAATAAGTGTAAGTTTTTACGTTGTTATTAACTGCAGTCACATTGTTGTATAATAGATCTCTTGTACTTATTTCTCCTAACTGAAATTTGGTACCCTTTGAATAACATAATCCAATCCTCCATCCCTGCCTCCCCCTCCCCACCCCCTGGTAACCACCGTTCTACTCTCTGTCTCTGTGAGTTTGCCTTTTTAAGATTCCATATATATGTGAGTGCATGTGGTATTTTTCTTTCTGTTCTTTGCTTATTTCACTTAACATAATATCCTCCCGATTCATCCATGATGTTGCAAATGACAGGATTTTCTTCTTTTTTTAAAGACTGAATGGTATTCACTTATGTGTATATACCACATTTTCTTTATTCATTCATCAGTTGATGGACATTTAGGTTGATTCTATATCTTGGCTATTGTGAATAATGCTGCATAAATACGAGAGTGTAGCTGTCTCTCCAACATACTGATTTTGTTTCCATTCAGGTATTTGTTTCCTTTGATACATATTCAGTAGTGGTATTGCTGGATCCTGTGGTAATTCTATTTTTAATTGTTTGAGGAACCTCTCTGCTGTTTTCCATAATGGCTGTACTAATTTACATCCTACCAACAGTGTGCAAGGGTTTCCCTTTCTCCACATCCTCACCTGCACATATCTTTTGCCTTTTTGATAATATTCGTTCTAACAAGTGTGAAGTAGTATCTCACTGTGAATTAAATTTGCATTTTCCTGGTGATTAGTGATGTTGAACATTTTTTCATGTATCTATTGATCATTTGTGTGTCATCTTTTGAAAAATATCTATTCAGGTCCTTTGCCCATTTTTAAATTGGGTTACTTGATGTTTTGCTTTTAAGTTTTTTGAGTTCCTTGTATACTTTGGATATTAACCCTTTATCAGATATATAGCTTGCAGACATTTTCTCCTATGCCATAGGTTGTTTCTTTAACTTTGTTGATTGTTTCCTTGGCTGTGCAGGAGATTTTTAGCTTGGAGCAATTCCATTCAGGTATTTGGGCTTTTATTGCCTGTACTTTTGGGGTCATATCCAAAAAGTCATTGCCCAGACCATTGCCAAGATTGAGAATGTCATGGAGCTTTCCCCCTGTTTTCTTCCAGTAGTTTGATAGTTTCTGGTGTACATTTAAGCCTTTAATCCATTTTGAGTTGATTTTTGTGTATGGTGTAAGATAAGGGTCTAATTTTATTCTTCGGCTTGTGGATGTACAGTTGGCTCAACACCATTTTTATCGAAGAGACTGTCCTTTACTCATTGTGTGTTCATGGTATCTTTGTTGAAAATCAATTGACCAAAATGCATGTATGGATTTATTTCTGGGTACTCTATTCTGTTTCATTGGTCTGTCTCTGTTTTACCATGCTGATTTGATTACTATTGCTTTTTAGTGTATTTCGAAGTCAGGTAGTGTGATGCCTGCAGCTTTGTTCCTTTTGTTCAACATTTCTTTGGCTATTCAGAGTCTTCTGTGGCTCCATATGACTTTTAGGATTTTTTTTTTATTTCTGTGAGAGATGTTGTTGGAATTTTACTTTATTTTTTTGAGACAGACTCTCACTCTGTTGCCTGGGCTAGAGTGCCGTGGCGTCAGCCCAGCTCACAGCAACCTCAAACTCCTGGGCTCAAGCTATTCTCTTGCACCTCCCAAGTAGCTGGGACTATAGACACATGCCACCATGCCTTGCTAATTTTTCCTATTTTTAATAGAGACAGAGTCTTGCTCTTGCTCAGGCTGATCTCAAACTCCTGAGCTCAAGCAATCCTCCCACCTCGGCCTCCCAGAGTGCTAGGATAATAGGCGTGAGCCGCTGCGCCTGGCCTTTTGGGATTTTAATAGGCATTGCATTGAATCTGTAGACCACTTTGGGTGATATGGGCATTTTAACAATATTTATTTTTATTTTCCAATCCATGAGCACAGGATATCTTTCCATTTATTTGTACTTCTTCCATTTCTTTCATCAAATGTTTTATAGGCCTGGCACAATGGCTCATGTCTGTAATTTTAGCACTTTGGGAGGCTAAGACAGGAGGATTGCTTATGGTCACAGGCTCAAGACTAGCCTGACCAACATATGAGACCCTTTCTCTACAGAAAATACAAAAATTAGCCAGGTGTGCTGGCTCACTCCAGTACTCCCAGCTACTGGGTAGACTGAGGCAGGAGGATCACTTGAGTCCAGGAGTTTGAAGCAACAGAGTAAGACCCTGTCTCCAAAAAAAAGGTTTATAGTTGTCAGTGTATGAGTCTTTTCTTTGGCATCTTCCACAAATGGGATTTTTTTCCTTAATTTTGTTTTTGGATAGTGTGTCGTTAGCATATAGAAATGCTACTGATTTTTGTAAGTTGATTTTGTACCCAGCAACCTTACTGAGTTTATTAGTTCTGAAAGTTTTTTGATGGAGTCTTTAGGGTTTCCTATGTATAAGATCATGTCTGCAAACAGGGACTATTTAACTTCTCCCATTCTAATTTGGATGCCTTTTATTTCTTTTCTTAATTGCTCTGGGTAGGACTTCCAGTACTATGTTCAATAGAGGTGGCAAGAATGAGCATTCCTTTTCAAGCTGCGGGAGTGCTTTCTGTAACTGGATGGAAAGCACCTCTCAGCCTTGAACATAAAGAAAAAAAAAAAGAATGGACATCCTTGTCTTGTTCCTCATCTTAGAGGAAAAGCTTTCAATTTTTCACTGCTAAGTATGATGTTAGCTGTGGGGTTGTCATGACCTTTATCGTGTTGAGGTACATTCTGTCTATACCTAATTTGCTGAGGGTTTATTGTGAAAGGATGTTGAATTTTGTCAATTGCTTTTCCTGGATTTATTAATTATTTCCCATCATTCTATTAATGTGGTATATCACGTTTATAGATTTGCATATGTTGAAATTATTAACAAGACTAAGCAGTCTTGTTTAATTTGTTTAGTTTGATCCATATTGAGAAAAGTGTTGAAGATACATTCTAAAATGTCAAGTCCTTACCTCAGAGGGAGAGAAGTCAGCTTTTGAAATTTTATAATGAGCATATATTTCTTTAATAATTACAAAAAAGAAAGAATTACTGGAGGATAAATTTTAAATGCTCTCCTAAAGATAGAACTTTCAATAAACACCAAATACTAAGTCATATCTAAATAATTCTTTATAAAATTTAGACAAAATCTTTATAAACAAGTCCCACCGAGTTAGTACAGCAGTGCCAGTAAATACATAGTAAATCATATTCCATAGCCCTTAGCTCCAAAACCATTCTTTGTCCTAATGATATGAGTATCCAGAAGTAATCCTTTACTATGTCAATTCTCCTAAATATCAGGACTTATTATGACCATTTCGGACTGATTAAAATAGTCATCCTG